AAACTGCTGTGAAATCATTTTAGGCTGCAACAATCCCAGAAAAAGCACACAAGGGACTGAAATACTGTGAGAGTATCAAAGTGCTGAATCCTCAGAGGAATGCACAGCCCATATTCAGTAAATGCAACTTTAAACAAGCTTTTATATGCACCCAGCACCGTCCATAGGCTACAATCTGCTACCCTAAAAGCATAAAATATATCTTATGGATGTCAAAACTTCAAATATAACCATGTAAAGTGTAAAATATGGGAGCTTTTATGTTTGTCTGTCACTGATTGCTGAGTTATTGTAATGCAAAATCATTTCTCACCGCTGCGACTTAAAGTGATCCTACTGGCAAAGCGTGAGGTGATTTTTATTGTGAGGCAGCCACAGGAAATGCAATTCATTTGCCTCCAAGCTGAAAAAAGATAAAACTGCATAAAACTCATAAAGCTCTGTATGTATTTAGGTGTAGAAATCTGCGTTCACACAAAACAGGAAACATGCATACGTACGTATGCAATTAAATGCAATTAGCAGCTTTGTGGGAGATGAACTGGGAGACTCAGACTGTGCAGATGAAACTCAGTAAGTCTCCCAGTTTGACTTTTATTATTATCTACTTGCAATAAAAAGAAAGACTTCTTGTTCTTTGTTTCAATATATTTTATTCATAGATTCTGATTAAGACCGATTCATTCACAGAATGAAATCATGAACTCAGTTGACAGTGTTGCACTAAGGGAAGCATTAAAAGAAATAAACTGGACATTTAAAAGAACCACATGTACGAGGGCTGAGTCCGTGCTGCAGCATCATCTCCTCTACGAATGGCGTGAACGAGGTGTACCTGTGTGGAAAGTAACTACACTTTTCATGCATTCAGGTAGTTTCTTCCTGCAGCGAGGGATTATTATTAATGAATGATGGAGCAGCGAGGAGCAGCCACAGTGGCATCACCTCCAACTCCTCATCAGCTCTCAATGAGACGGCATCCTGTTGATCGGAAAACCGCTTTCATTGTGCACGCCGCCTGAGATCAGATGAAAGTGGCTCACAAGCATCACGGGAAATCCTTCTCCAACAAAAAACCAGCAACAGGTGAATCCTCTCGGCCCGCGGCGTGTTTGGATGTAAACTCTTGCCGTTACCTCCAGAAGGTCTCGGCGCTTTGCGGTCTGCTGGTTTTTTGCTGCACAGGCTGAATGACAAACAGTAACAGACGTGCTCGCGGTGAGGAAAGCTGAATCTGAGGTGATCTTCACGGCTCTGAGTTGAAGTCTCTCGTGTGGTTTGTGTTTGTTTTGCTGTTTGACGAATATATTTATTTTGTTTTTATCACCTCAAAGAAATATACAGAAATATCCCCTCTCATCCCATCCAGCCAGGAAGCACTGAACTTTAGCCTGTAACGAAAATGGCTGCTGCCAATCAGTGACCCACAAAGTGTTTTTTCAAGGATAATTTTGCCAATTTTGAAAAAAGTTAAGGTAAGAAAAACATGTAATAAAGGTCCATCTTTGTCTGAACAAGGACAGAAACCGACCACAATGCGAAATAAAGAGGTTGTGAACCAAAAAATTAACCAAACTAAATGAAAGGTGCTTCTCCCACCATGCCGGTTCCACTGGTTGTCATTGCTTCATCTCAGCAGGTTTAATGGGTTAAAATGTTGTGTTTCCCAAAAATACTGGATGTAGCAAAAATTATACAAATTAAAACTCATATATGCAAATTGATATTTAAATGATTATTTTATAATTTGTTAGAAAATTCAATAAACACTCTAATTTCAAAAAAATTTGAATTTTCTGGTTATTATTTCATGTTTCAGGCATTACAGGGTTTTATTTTAGTATATCTAAGGTAACATATTGAGAGAGGTTTCTGGATATTGTTTAGCTTGAAGAAGAGAAAAACACCATATATTATTTATTTGCTTTAGAAAGCCGACTCTCGGAGGACAGACCAAGAAAACATAAAAGTCTTGGATCCTCGTCCGTCACGTAAACTCTGAAACCGTTTGAGTATTTTCTGACAATCAAAAGCAGCACAAAGCAGAAATCTGACATCTAATTTTTAGTTTTCTCTGCGTGTGGTGGAAAAACTAAAGGTTGATGTTGTAGTTAAGAGCCTGGTTCTTGGTTCCCTGCACTCTTTCTGAACGTTCCTGAGACTGATTGATATTCAGTCAGGTGTTAATGTTTTTGTTAAAGATTTAATGTACTTTTATTTACTCCTGGCTTCTCTTCTGTGGTTTGTAAAAGGTCCGTTAGCTCCTACAGCGACAGCATTCAGAGATATTTCAGACAGCTGCATGAAGAAATATTTTTTCCCAGAACTTGACCAGCTTGGAAGCTAACTAGCTTAGCGACAGTTCACTTCTGTTAGCAACATCTGGAAAACTGTCCTCTGTCTGTCTCAATAAAACTGATAAAGCTTGAGTTGAGTGAACTGCAGTCAGTGTCCTGTTGTTCCTCTGACAGTTAATGTAAAAGAAAGACTGCAGCATTACATCCTACTGGAACAAGTCCCATAACTCATTTTAATGCTGTTTCACCGGCTTTGACAGAAATATGAAGTGAGAACACAGAAAAAGAGACAGAACCATTATTCTGCCCCAGGTGACGGTTCTGACTCAGCAGGATTAATTAAGAAGCTTGACGAATCAATTTGACGCCTGGGTTGGAGGAACAGGTGGAAGGGGCTCCTTCAGTTCTAATATATATGTCAGGGACTTATAGTTGAAATTGTTGAGTGCATCAAAAAGGAGAAAGTTTAATGCAAGAAACGTAACAGTTGGGTTTTGGAGTAATTGAGCAGCTTTTCTCTGCTCGAGTTAAAGTCCAAAAGAACTGAGAAATGTAATTTTAACCCTTTAAGATCCCATCCTCAGTTATACTGTTCATCTATTTAACTATTTATGCCAAAAATATTAACAAAAATTCAATTTATTTGTATTTTTATATCAAAAATCAGATAAATCTGTCTTCCTGTAATACACAATGTGACACATGTTCTGATTTCATGTAGAGTTCAAGTAAAAAAGTACTTTAAAGGTTGAGGAGGATAAATCAGATCAAAACAGCCACACAAGGCTTACTTCCTGTTGCCAGTGTAGCTGTGTTCAGGACGGGACTGTTACAGAATATGTGAAGTCTGATGGAGATTGGATCCTGTACACTGAAATTAGGACAACGTGCTGTTTCATGGCGATATGTGGCGACTCTACGCTACGCCACGGACACGCCCTTCAATGTACAGACACAAAGAGCACAACTTTTAATTGTGATGCTCTTTAGATTGCACTGACCCAATTTAAAGTCAATCCGATCAATTCCTTAGAAGGAATTTGTTAAAATAGAAGGCGAAAAATTACAGAAAATGACGACTAAATTCAAACTTCCTGTTGGGTTTGTGGTTTTGGGTCCAAGAGGCTTTTTTACTCGTCTGATCATGATACATACCGGTTCTCATACATGTCGGTCGTACGTGTCTTGGGGGCAGATGCTGGGGGGCGTGGCCTGGGACATTTTGTGACGACCAAGAAAATACTTAAACTTTCACTACCACTGAATGTTGTGCAAAGTTTCATGAGTTTTTGAGACTGTTAAGGCCTCAAAAAATGTGATTCATTTAGTATTAAAATAATAAGTGTTCAACAACACATGCTGCAAGGTGACCACGAAACAATAAAAAAGGCCTCAGACTCACAAGAGGAAACAACCTGAGACTCTTTTCTATTTATACTTTCTCCGGCTCCTCCGGTCTTTACGAAAGCGTAAGTGTGTTTTCTCTGATAAGTGGAACATTTTTATCCTGTAGATTAACCTTTAAAACCAGTCTGGGAAGGAACAAACTTGTCTTTTGTCCTCGGTTGTATCCGACTCTCATCCCGGATTCCTTCAACATCATTTCCCTCCACACTCAAAGAATTAAAACATCACATTTACCTAATTTAATTAATTCAACCGGCCCCATGAAACAGGTTGAATAATGGGAAAAACTCAACTTTATGCTTCTGACCAAACACTCTTAATTAAACATTATACAGTTATACTAAATTTACTAAACACATTTATATAAAATTTACTGCATAACATCGACTATTAGTCTTTTTGCAAAACCTTTGCGATCGATCTTTTAGAGTCTATCAATCATTATTCATTCATTTTTTGGCAGACTTTTGGAGGTAAAATCCTAAAATAAAAAATGCATTGATGTCTTTTAAGATAATATTTTCTACAGCTTATTCACAAACGTGAAAAGTTTGTGTCTAATTTCCTTTCATAATGCAGTTCCAACACTGTTTATGGACCCCAAAAAGCAGAAATATTCAAATACACACATTCACACACTATTTTATACCACTTTATATTCTGATAAAATAACAGCGGTGGACTGTAATTTTATCAGAATATAAAGTGGAGATCCAGAAGACGTCAAATCAGTCCGGCTGAATTATTATTTATTTTGTTTTAAACCTCTTTAAGAAGTACTAAAGGTCTCCCAGAGGCCTGGTGGTTTGGACAGAGCACCAGCTATGAGAATCCAGTCAGTTTTCAAAATAAAATACAGTGTGC